GTCATAAGGCACGTTTAGTTCTTGTCTTTTTCTTCTTTTATCGTTTTTGCATAACATTCGCCATGCATCCTGCTTTCCTTTTCCCTTCCTTTCATTTTCGAAGGATTCATGCTTATGAACAGGAAGGAGCTGCTGCTCATCCTCGTATGTTCTCACTCCTCACCATCACATACCTTTCTGCTCGCTCCTTACGATTTTTTAATTAATTTAAGATTAATTAATTACAACGATTTTTTACTGCATGATCGCTCCGTCCGAAATTCTGAACCTCGATAATTTGAATTCCGAAAAATGCCTAAGGTTATAACAACTTATGTTATTGTACAAGAGTGTTTGCTCATCAGGAAGGTGGAAGTAGAACTACATGCAGGGAACGTCGAAAAGTTAAAAGTATTCTTAGCTTCTCAGCCACAACTATAACACTGAGTCACCGTAGAAGTGAAGTTTTTTGTTTATCATGGGTCTGCTAAGCAGAGGCCCAGATATGCTATTCCAATGATGCTTGCTACATAGGCTGAAGAATTTTCATGAGCTTTTGTTTTCGTGCAATAGTTTGATAGGTCAAATGGTGCTGCTGTTAGTGTAGCGAGTGGTGAGTCTAATATCCGAGTCCCTTATGGATACGAGATTTGGCATTCTAAGAGAGTTGTAGATTACGTACTTTATATGGGATGATGGCCACACTAATCACCGCATTTAATTGCGTTTTTTTTTATTTTAAGTGTCACGTCAATTTAGCTGTGCACCGCTGCCGTGGTCAGCACTTTGCTAGGGGTTCAATTTTAGTTTAGTCCACCCTTTCGGATGTCTGGTGTAAAGATGAAAGGTCTTTTATGTGCTCAACAACAGCAACTTGTACTGTGAACACTTAGGCTCCCGTTCGCTGTTGAACTCCGTCTTTCTCCGTCTCTGTGCTAACTAATTGTAAGTACAGAGTTCTGAATGCCCCCAATTAGCACCGCCTATAAGAATACGGTGCTCCCGTTGTAGACAGTCTCGCACCCTTCGGGCTTGTTCAGCACACCTTTATCATTTATCATTTCCATTATTTTTTTCTTCCTATACCCTTATTTTCTTGTTATATTGTTTGGGAGTTTGGGAATTTGTGAATTTTCCAAAAAATTTTTTTAAAATGGCGCTGTGACAGAAACTGACATCACGTCCTTATTATTTTCCTAAATATAATATA